AAAAAAAAAAAAACGCTAACACTACGCAGACACAATAAAGAGACTCACACTGACTCAAAACGGTGGCAGAGGGCGAAAACAACCCTTCTGATAAAATAATCAGATGAAAAATTGAACCATGTGAATGATTTAACTAGATTACTTTCTGGCTGCTTTCTTTCTGCACATATATTTGGGTGATTAAACTTCTGCCCTTTTCACAAAACACAAACTTTGCAGCTAAACTTGGTGGAAGCCTTGATTTTAATACAAACACTTAAGAAATAAGAGCAACTTGATGACAACAACAACAGCGCCAAACAGACAATCGTTCGCTGAGTTGATTAAACGCGAGTTAAAGAGGAAAGACAGCCTTTAAGGAAGGGAAATGAGTCACATATTCATGAGCTCTGCAAATGTCACGCTGTTTCAGTAATGTGCACGCAAACAGACAATATGTAAATGCAAACATGATCTCCCAAAAAAAGTTGAGCTGCTGTTTAAAATGTAAATAAAATCAGAAATAATTTGAAAATTGAATGAACCCATATTTTATTCATGATAGAACATAGAAAACATATCAAATATTTAAATGGAGGCATTTTGCTATTTCATGAAAATATTAGCTCATTTCAATTTGATGGGAGCATTGTGCCTATTTAGCAGATCCATTTTTTTTCTACGTAAATGGTTAGTCTTCTTCTTAACCATGGAATTCCACAAGGTTAAGTGCTGAGACCAATACTTTTTACATTATAAATGCTAGCCTATGTCCTTTAAGATGCACATTAAACAAATATGTTGGAGTGTTTTTATTCATCTGTGCAATATCTTGCAGCTCCCAGTAGACAGCCGCTCCATTTTTAAGATTACACTTTTTAAGACCACGCGTTTTTGATAAAGTTTATAGTTAGGGTTAGATTCTCTGACCCTGAAGCATCACTTACTTATGCTGCTGTAGGCTGAGACTGCTGAGGTGCTGTGTTAAGCTGAGCACTTCTTTTTACTCACCTCTTTTCACTCTCTAGGTGTTTACATACCGCTGTTACATATCATTAAATTTGCCATCAGTCTGTGTTTTGTTCTCATCTTGTTTAACCTTTACCTTGAAGTTTAAAGCACCATGAGGCAGATGTTGTGATTTGGTGCTCTGTAAATAAAACTGAATTGAATGCAACTCTCACCAACGCCTGTTTCAAGAGCTGCGGGGAGTAGCTTCCTTTTATCCAGATGATTCTCATTTAAGTGTCCCTCTCACTTATGTACCTGACCTTTAAACATCAGTTTGACAGTCTGCATTGTTCTAAACAGACAGGGTTAAAAACAGAAGTCGTTTTGAAGACTAAAACTTTTTACCTCCCTGCAGTGCATTTTATTTAATGCAATAGTTACTCCCTGCAACATTCAGTGAGATTAAAAAAAACTCTCTTATTTGCATTCTTCTAGTAGACGCAACACTATACTGCATGATGCAACTTTTTACCTCTTAAAGGTTCCCTGCAGGACTGAAACACAGACCTTCAGTGCAAATTAGTTCAACAACTCTCCAGAGGCATGACAGGCAGTAGAGATCTGCTGCTGGGTGAGCTATTACCCATAACTAAACAGACTTTCCTCTTTTGGTCTGTACTTCTGTGTGAGTCTAAGTACGTGTGTAGGATTGTGGTGTCTTTTACTGTATTATATCATGCACCAAGCAGACAAAAGCCATGAAAGGCCTTCAGTAATTAAAATGAAAAGCCTCTCCCTTCCCTATAGAATGAATAAAAGCCCTGCTTTACAGAATCACCCTGAATCTATATTCAGATTTAAATAGGACACATACTCACACACAAATATGTACTCCATACCTGCTCCAGTTTCCAGTGGAACTCAGCAGGTCTGAAAGTGTCAAGCTGAGTGAAATCTCTTCTGAGCAGAAACACCAGGCGGCAGTTGTGAACATACAGAGAATAATGGTGGCGGTTCATCTCTACAATGGGAAGACCAAGAAGAGGCATGGTCATACAAAAACGTGCACACATTTGAATATAGTGCAGTTTTAAATTACACAATGTTCTAATCAGCAGGTTTATTTCAAGGAAAATTGATGTTGCTCATGTTCATGTCAGTAATTTTGTTTTTCCTTCAGTTCAAAAATTGGCATAGAGTACAGCTTTTTACTTTCACATCAAATGGGTTTTCCACATCAGTCAACTAAACAACGGCAGTTTAGTGAGTGTGGTTTGAGCCGCTTGCATATCTGCATTTTTTCCTTATGGACACACACCCGCACTGAGGAGCTGGTACTTAACTTAATCGTTTTTGGTGTTTTTAATGGAAGAACCAACTTTAGTCTTTCACTGGTGTGAAAATGAATATTTATTTAGCATATAATCATATAATAAAGATATTTATCACAAGTTTTTTAAGCAGTGCTAATGCTCCAGTCACACTATGGAAAAGAAGTGGTTGTAGACTGCAGGATGACCAAATTACCGTGACTGTGTGGCTTAACTTCCAATCCAATTGCCTTTAAAATGCATACTTCAAAGACAAAGTCTGTCTGAATTTTTAAGTTAGATGAAAATTATTTGCAAACATTTGCCAATCTGTCTGAAACTGCGATTGTTTGGCTGCAACTTCCCTCCCACCAGGCGACCTGTGCAATTGGCTTGTGAGTGAAAGCAGTGAGTGTTGCATGCCGAGCTGGTCACGGCAGCTATTTACAAACAATGTAAAAAAAAAAATCAACATAATCACCAGCCAACCACCAATTTTTCCTTGTTGCAAAGAGGTTGGCTTCCCATTTTTACTCTAGTGTGATTAAGTCATAAGACGTGTAAAAGGGGTGATTGCTTCTAATTCTAATACAGTTTTCTGTTAGAAGTCACAATTAGCTAATTTCATTTATAGTGTGTTTTTCTGTTTTTTTTTCTGTTTTCTGCTTTTCTATTACTCTTCAACTCTTCAATATAAAAATAGGAACATTTGTTAAAAAAAAACCCAATTGAATATGATAAACTTCAGTGCGATCATGCATTTAGGAACATATTATACACTCTTCATACATGAGTTATCACTATAATGGCATGAAAATGAATGTGATGGTGATATGGCTCATCACTGGCCCTGCATATCATCTGGCACACCCAGAGGAGTGATGGGATTCAAAACATTTTATTTCACAGCTGGAAACTGTTGGTACTTTTCACATTCTTAAGCAAAAAGATTACAAATAAAAAGTGGTTTAAAAGATGCTGGTGGTCTACAATAAACTGCTCTGCAGTTTTGCATTACAAGATCAGGCTACTAATTTCGTAAGCTAATAAGCCATCTGTGAGACCATTGTGAGCGCGTGCAATGTGCAGATGGCTTGTTTAATTACACAGTGCAGGCAGCTCAGTTCAGAGATGCAGTGGGGAAAAAGTTTTAAAGAGCATTTGCCACTGTGGGCTTTGGTCTCAGCTTAATTACCCGGTTGTTTTGAAATGTTTTTGGTTTTTTATTATTATTGATTTGTGATAGGGTTCATGCTCCCATCTCTGCAGGACCTGTACACCTCCAGGACACTGGGGCGTGCAGCTCGGATCTCAGCTGACCCTTCTCACCCTGGACACAGTCTGTTTGACCTGCTCCCCTCAGGCAGGAGGCTCTGGTCCATTCGCACCAGAACCTCTCGCCATAAGAACAGTTTCTTCCCCTCTGCTGTTGGACTCATGAACAATAACCGTGTGACTGTTCCCACCACTAACACATGACCCTACGCTGTGTTCACTGCATCATTCCATGTTTGGCACTGATCACCACCTGCACTCATGTATATATCTATCTACTTAGCACTTTTAATTCTTATTTTTATTTTTATGTCTATTTAAGTGTTATATGACAGTATGTTTGCACTAAGTACCGCAGCAATTTCCTAATGTTGTAAACCTGCTCAACATTTGGCAATAAAACCCTTTCTGATTCTGATTTCTTATGGTATGTTTTGCAATGTAGGACAAAGGACAAAATGTTTAAGTGTCACTGAAAGGTCAGTGGTTTCCAGTAGTGCTGCAGGAGGAACATACTGGTCTTCAAATGTCAGCGAACTGAATTTAATGAAAAGATTAATTTGCCATTTAGTTTTGTGTAGTCTGGATCTTATAAGTGAGCACAGTGAAATGATTTCCTGACCGGTCTTGTCAGAGCTGCACAGTAAGGTTTCCTTCTCGGCTCTGAGTCCTGGACTGGGCCCGTGCTTCATCCATGTTGCTATGGTGAACTGGTCTGTCAGGTTTTGTGGCACCACGTGATCTGGGAGATTTGCAGCCTGACGCCCATCAAATCTGTAGATAAGGTCGCTGTCTCTGCCGCTGTCCGTCAGCAGAGCAGCTGTCCAGTTTGTGGAAGGGCTGGGGGCAGGAAGGAGGTCAGTGCTGCCTGATGCTGCACCTGGAAGTCACAAAGCCATGATTAATAAATCCATCTATCCTAATGTAGCATGCAGTCTACTTATATAGTCAACATTCATCCTGCAACAAAGACACAGCATAATTAGAAACTTCAATGCAATTCGGTAAAGCTGCCATCTGTATGTGTTTTTCAATGTAATTTAATTATGTGCTTGGTTGAAATGATGTGATGGACTGTTTTTAATTGAGTTTTGTTTCTTTGTTGGGAGTGGGTGTTCAAAAAGCACAAAATGTTTAATGCACAAAACCTTTACAAGCTTATTTTTTCTCCGGTAAAAAAGTAATCCAATTACCTGTTCCCCCTTTCTGGCAGTAATTACAAATGAATAAAGTTACCTATCAGATTTGAAGGCACAGTTTCACAGCGTTTTCACATTTACTGTATAAACTTGCCTCAGGCTATTAATGGGATGTAATGTCACTCCGGAATAGTAAAATGGCATGCGGGCATTTGGCTTATTAAAATGCATCGAGAGTTCAGATGTCAAGAAGTTTTTCATTCTTCGGATTAAAGTTTTCCATGTCTCTCATTATTATCAGAGTCCATTTAAAATGGCACCACCCTATTTCAACAGGGCATCAACATTCCTCACTTCCATTTAGATTAATTTACCCTCCACCCACACTCCTTTTTTCCTCACCACAGAGTTTTTGCAGAGACTTTTCAGAATATGTTTCGCGGTCGCAGCCCTTTCCAATGTGATTTGTCTGCAGCTCTACCATTGCTTTCACGCCAGATAAGGGACCTCCACACGTTTCCAAGTGCATCTTGGGAAACAGCTGCTTGCTCCCAGTCCCAGGCTCATAGTCCACCCGTTTGTTCCAACCTGAAAGGACAAAATCACTGCAACAGTTTGTAAACCTTAGGGAGTTTATTTAGTCATATCAGTGGTCTTTTGCTGTGAACCTGAAGGTATTCAGTTGCTCTCTGGAGTTATCTGAATGATCTTTTCACCCCATATTACATAAGAAGGAAATTAGGCATCAAGACACAAGTTTTAATGAGCTTGATATTAAATCACATCTTAGAAACAGGATGGGAAGGGTCATCCAACAAGGTGTTTACTTATATTTACTGAATCATGGTGGTGAAAGAGATTCATAACTTAGATTTTTCCTTATAGAAATCTCTGTGTTGGTGGTGGAAACCTGGTAGCTCTTGCTAAACCCACACAATATGATATCAAGTCTCCTGAGAAAAATCACACAGAGAGAAACAGACTGTGATAAGGTAGGCAAAGAGAAGTGAGAGGTGAGGTGGAGCTTGTATTAATGCCAGAGAGACTTCTTCAAAAGAGCAGCTGCAGAGGCACAGCCGACCTTTACACACAGATGATAAATAAGGTTATGTGTACAGAGGACTTGGCCTGAATGCATCACTGCATTATGTTTTATTCATAAGCTACTATGGATTAATGGTTTTACGTTAAGCTAAACGCGGGTTAATGGTTGTGCAGTATGGGCTCTTTTATGAGCCAAATTACAAAGAATAATGCAACTTTGATGAGGATGTTAGCAGCACATGAGATCAAGCGAGATTCGACATGATAACACTTTGATACCATCTGCAGCTCAAAAATAATTCTCTATTTTTCTCTGTGAGCAACAAGAAGAGTCCTGCAGCTCCAGGAGACATTTTTCCTGTCAGTAGTTTCATGTTGAGCAATGCTGGATGTTTTGGTATAAAAATAGACACGACTCCTGTATTCTTAAATTAGTTTTTTCTTTAGTCCTGTTGTGTTAATGCCTATGACATGGAGATGACCTTTAGAAATAATTAGTGTTTCTATTATATTTATCTTGTGTGATGTTGCGCTCAGTATTACACATCCCTCAATAAATTACCCCATAGCCAAAACCAGTTGAAATCACACTAATTTTTTGTATTTTTGTGTGATCCCTTTGGACTAATGTATGATGTATTTAATGCCAACTTATGTTAAAGTGATTGTCGTCGCCTGAAGGTGTTGTGTTGTTTTTGGGTTTTACATTCTTAGGTAATATATATGAATTTGTGTTTCTGTCTCAGTTTTACTGTTATTCTAGTGTTTGAGGTTTTTTATCCTTAGTTTAGGCTTTGAAGACCTGTATGCTGAGTACATTAGTGCAGTATAATTTGCCTTCTGGCTCCTGTTCCAGTTTTAAGTGCTTGACTTGTATCAGGCCTTGGGTCCTACACTGTGTTTGTTATTTCAGTCTTTTCTGTATACGTTGCCCCCTCTGATTAATTTCTATGTCATATGCCTTTGTCCTCCAGTGCTTCCTTTTCCCCGTCTTCATGTTTAATTGACTATTCTTGTCTCCTTGTTTAGTTTGTGTCTCTTGGTCGCTTCCTGTTTTGCTTTGAAGGTTAGATTTCTTTCATGAACTGTGTTAGTTTTCCTTCCTGTCCTTGTCTCCCCCCTGATTACATGATTATCTTCAACTGTCATTCGCCAGTCAGCTCCCAGTGTATTTATAGTCCTGTCTTATACTTGTGTCTTTTCCCTTATGTCTTCTAATTTCTTCCTCCTGGTTTCTCCTAAGTCTTTGTGTTTTTGGTTTCTGCCTGGTCTTTCTCATCATGATTTTAGTTTCCTGGTTTTAATGGATTTTACCTTGGACTTTAATCTATGAAAGATCTTAGCTTACACCAATATTTTATCTATAGTAATAAACCAAATGTGAATGTGTTTTGGATCATAAAAAGTTACACTAAAATAACTTAAACTGTTAAACTGTAGCCAAAGCAGTTCCTTGGTCAGAATGAATCATACAGGACTTAAACTAAAGATCTTCAGCCGTCTGTGATGTAATCTCTTAATCTAGATCACTTTCATTTAGTTGTGTTTACAGTACTTAGCGATCTGCTGGCTTCTTTTGCCGTCTTTGCAAGATATAAAGAAGCTACTCGGCTTCCCTGTGATGCCCCCCTGATGTTCATACCTGCAGTATTCACGGCTTGAAAAACTTTGTAAACCACCTCTGCAATTTTTTGTTTGTATTTTTTTATTTAAATACCATATTTTTCTCAAGATATACAAAGACAACTTGTGTCCTTGGCTTCAGATTTAAGACAATGGTCATGAACTCTGTGTCTCTTGTTTGCTGTCATTGCTGCACTGTCAGTAACACAAGCTTAAAATGTCCTAAAAATAGTTCAGAAAATAATAAGCCCCCCACAGGATTTTCTGTGTACTTAGAAATTGGCAAAGAGCAGCCTGGTTGATGGATAAATAATAGCTGTTTTGGCTTACTTTATCTTTCAGCTTTGCAAAACCTTTGTGAATATGATGGGGATAAATTTAAGCTCCTGATGGGTTAGATGTTAGATGTGGTCGTGGTAGATATAAAAACAACACAACCAACTCGGGCTAAAGAAACACATTCTTTCAGACAGAACCACAGCTACCTGGTACATTTTGAGGTTTCCTACCATCCGCTACACAGTAAGCTGTATACTGGTCAGATTAAAGCTGTGAGAATACCCATCACCTCTCTCCCTCACTGTAACTTTGTTTCTTCCTTTCCTCCCTCGAGTTTTCCTCCTTCCTCTTCCCCATCTCCCCTCTCTCTTCTTATCTTTCTCTGTCTTCCTCTTTCATTCCTGTGTGAACTTGACTCCTGAGATGCTGTCAGTGTTGACAGGTGAAGCAGCAGGGGAGACAGGCTGACTCGAATGCCAAGCTGCTGCCATGTTAAAAGAGGAAGAAAAAACCCACAATCTAGTCAACTTTCCCTTTGGAGGTTTTTTGTCAGGTCTCTGATTTCCTCGAGAGATGCTGATTCTAAAATAAGAGAATTCCCTTGAGGGAAAGGATATGCCAAAAAAACAGAAAATGCACTGAATTGCCTCCATCAATTTTGATGGCACTGCTAACATTTAGGGAAAGTGTAAACATATTTTATCCAAATACAGATGCAAGTCAGTTTTGTCCATTACTGGCAGGTAAATTAAGGTAGCGTGCAAATACTTAAGGGACTATTTCTTCATCTAACCTTGCCATCCAGGTTTGCAGACAGGCTTCACTTCAATATGCACCACCACATCCTCCTTCGCCCTCTTCTGACCGCAGTCAAAGGCCGTCACCATAATCTTGTAGCTCTGCTGTTTGTCATAACTCAGCCGCTCTGTGTTTCTGATGTTACCTGCGGAAAACAAAAACACAATGGAAATATAATTATGATTTTTCACCAGCGGAGAAAAAAAGCTGTTGTGTTGTTGTATTTGGCAATAACAAAGCAAGCAGCGCTTTCCACTGAGCAATAATTGGAAACGACTTGGCATTAAAGAAACTGCTCTTTGTACTTATTGAAGCCTTTTACTGAAAACTCAAGGTCCAGTAACCTTGTATTACATTTGAATATTAAAACCTCTCTGTAAACAGTAAATGTAAAACCGCACTGATGGATTATCTTCACCTGTCACCAGGGTAACGCTTTGAGAAGAAGAGATGCCACAAGCCTTTACATTTTCAATAAGAGGCCTTGGGTGACTCACTGCCAGCTAACTGTAAAAGATAATTATTAGCATTTCACATTTTTCCCGTGATGTTCTCTGTTAAAGTTCACGCTAGTAATGTACCTTTCTGACATAATGTCCCTTATAGATTAGCCACTGACTGCTGTCCTTAAGCTTTTTGAATGTTTCTGTTTTATGATGGTTTTTTGACAGCTTGTGACAGCTTGATGCGTACATATTTACTGATTTGGGAAACTTGGTTTGGATTTGGAGAGATTATTGTAACATTGGCATTAAGGACTGTGTTTTCAGACCCCAGAAGACAACTGAAACTATTTTTGTGCTGCATCTGGAGGCTTGGCTGCTGGCAGAGAAGAAAATCAGTTCAGAGAACAGAAAGACAGAAAAAAAAGAGAAATGTCAGAGGAAGAAAGGCAAGGAGGTCAGAATCAGACAGTTTTTTTACCAAAAACTCCAACAGTGAGTGTTTGATCTGCTGCTGGAGTGAACAGTAACAGGAATGCAACCAATTATCAAAAACAGGTATACAGGTGCAGTTATGTATCATTTTAAAAGCACAATTTCCCTTCTCTGTTTGTTAGCAGAGAACCTTTCTCCAGGTGGCTGATTTATAATTTTTAACATTTTTTAACAAAATGAAATAAAATGATAGATTTTCTCGGAAAACGTTTGGACGCCCTTTAAGCTTTGCAATGACTCTGCATCAATGTGACTTAAAGCAACAATCTTCATATTTTGTTTTTTAAAGAGAAGCCAAATAAGCAAATTAAACATAATTTTTTAATTTACTTACTGACCTAATATGAAGAGGAGCCAGGAGAGTTAAGTAAGTTAGTTAAACATTAAGAAGGTTAAAAATGAAGACATTTAGAGAAAAAAAGAGTTTTATTTAAATATGTCATATAAATACAATATCTAATGAGTCGTCATATTATTAATACTTTGATATTTTGTCCTGCACTGATTTTGAGTACTATGATGCTTTTTAGTACAGTAACAATAGGCTGGAATATCCCTTTAAGGTTTGCATTACTTTGAAAGGGCTGATAACACAGTTGGACAGGCATGAAATAAATAGATAGATGATTAGATGACAGATGATTTCTAAAGCGCTATCAGCTGAAATACTGACATATCTCAGTGTGGTGTACAGTGTGTCCGTAAAAATATTGAGGACACTGGACAAGTGAAGGAGAATGTAAGACATGGCAGGCCTTAAAAAAAAATCTAAAGCAGATGGGAAAAACATGGGGGGGAAAGCAACAGGTTCATTCCTCAGTTTGACAATGTTAGGAAATAATAAAGGTGGTCATACAAAATGTTGACTTTCAAGCTTGTTAGAACTGTACAAACTCCGTTTTGTCTTATATTCTGTATTTGCACATATGCTCGCACATGTTGCAAAACTCCCTGCGTCTTTTCCCATTTATCCAGTAAAATATAAAGCAATGCTCATGAGAATAAATTATCCACTGGTCATTCTAAATTGCTAGTATGTCTGCACAGATCTAAGCAATATTATAGTAAATTATGTCAGTGTCAGCAGTCAAAAAGAATATGAAGTAAAACTATCTAATTTTATTTATCAATACCTAAAAAAATATTTCCTTACAGATGATTTTGAACTCATTTAAAGAAGGATGAATGAGTACAAAAAGTAGTATCTGTAATCACAAAACAGGATGTTCTTTTCTAAAGAGCTGAATTTCACTGTAGCAAATATGCAACATCTTACCTCTTGTAACACTGGCTTGAAGCCCATTTATTTATACGAGTCTAAACAATGGTGCTTTGGGTTCAATAATTTTTAATTCTAAATTTACTGTCTAATTTTAAGATTACAGTTCACGCCACATCCATTAGCAGAACTACATGCTGCAGCCCATTTACGCTTTATCTTATCTTGCACTTCTCTCAGTTCACAAAATTACCATTTCTCTATAAAGAAAGTTTAACTAATATGTTTCTTCCGAACAATAATATTGTGCCTGTAAGGGCTTTAAATTGAATGAGCCAGACAATGGTAAAAGACTGAGAGAAAAAGACCAGGAGGTTGAACTCAAAAAGTAATAAGACAAAATATTAAATATGACCCTAAGAGAGGGAGATACAGTAAAGAAAGCAGTGTATGTGTCTGTTTGGATTACACAGATCAGCGCAGTGTGGATGTGCAGGCTCAGAGAGACAGTAGTGCAAATCCCAAAGCTGAAATTTTATATAGGCGGATAAGCTCAGAATAGCACTTAATCAAAAATAAAATACACTCCTCCAGTCAAGTAGGACTGGCGTAAAGCCACAAAGGAACACGGGAAAACTCAAAACAATTTAACAGGTAGGCAGCTATCTGTCAAGTAACTTTTGAGCTATGAACCGATAAAGAGCTACCTCATGGATTACAGTATTATTCCAATAAAAAGGAATATTTTACAGTTGTCTGTTTTTCCCTTTTCATTAACATTAATCTGCTGTGCAGACAGCGTCACTTTAAAAATCATCCTCGATATTATTTCTTTACACAAAGTTGTTCTCCATGGCCCGTTCCATTATTCATTTTAAAGTCTTCGGAGGATTCTCGGGCTGTCTCATGTTCATCTTTGGCAAAGTTCAGCTGGCTGAGATCACAGTATTACATGTATGGCTGAGGAATAGTTTTCTTCTTTTCAAGACATTGGGCATTCTGTTTGTGTTCAAGTGGGACAAGAACCTCACAGCCGTTAAAGTTAGAGTAACTGTATTGGAAATGTAAAAAAATTCTCATATGATAAAAATTAAAAATGGTTTTTACCAACAAAATAAGAGATTGTGCTACAAATCCAGTAAAGTGTAAGGTGGAGAGCCACCACTATATCACTATACACTATATTTTGTTATTCACCGAAAGTGCATGAATCTAACTGTTTTGTGGTTAATACATCAAAAATGTGAAAAGGCCTTAATCCCACAAGGCAAGGTCAGTATTACAATAACTATAAATGTCTCCAGGCAAAATGCTTTTATGCTCTAAATATATGACATCTAAAGTAAATTAACAAGAGCTATTAGACTAAATTAAATTGATTATTACCATAAAATGAGTGTTTAACAGTCTCATTTTTTTTAAAAATAAAGAGTTAAAGTAGTTTAAAAAGAAGATCGTAATTGCTTAGCCAATAAGATTGTGGTGTCAAGAGACAAGGAAGGTGTGGATGAAGATGTTGTCAATACAAACTTGTGTAGAGTGTCTACAGTCATTTTTTTCAAGTATATTTCCAAGAAAACACAACCAAAGCCATTCCAATATATAAAAGTGGAGAAAAACACATTATCCAATTAAAGAACAATTTCTCCACTTCCCAGAGCTGGAAGCATTGAAATACACAATCCTATCAAGTGACTGTTAGTTTGTGTTTAAAGCAAATAGGTCTTCCTCCTTAACTGTAATGCAATGAGTAGAAGATATAACACATGCACTGGATAACAAGAAATACAAAAAGCTTACTTATGCAAGAACTGGAATGGTTTAAGAGGGACAGTCAGCTTATGTTTATATTGTTACCTAGATGAATGATATCAGTATAGATGAATAAATAATGCTGACTATGATTTAGTGACGGTTACTTGTGAGGTTCCACAGGGTTCTGTGCTGGGCCCTGTGCTGTTTATACTGTACATAAATAACATATGTAGCATGTCGAAATTGTTAATATTTGCTTTATTTGCTAATGACACAAATTTATATTGCACTGGGGAGAGGTTTGGAACAGCTTTTGAATATAGCAAAAGTGAATTAAACATTGAATGAGTTTAATATAAATTAATTATCACAACATTTTCTGAAAGAATTTCACAAGAAATTTCACACTACATTTTTGAGTGTGGTAATTCACTTTAGTTGACAGGCTCACACAAACAATTCCCAAATGTCCAACATAAAAGTCTTAAAAACTGTAATATTATATAAAATTACCAATATCTTTAAAAGTTATATATACATACTCTGTTTTTCCTTGAAAGTTTCACAATTACCTATTGTGTGAAGGTATGGGGAAACACATCCAAAACACATCAATTCAGTTTATTTGCTACAGAAGAAAGCTAAATGAATTATAAATAGATCAGATTATTATAAACCAACCAACAGACTGTTTATTAAATTGCATGCTTTAATATTTTATGACTTAGTTGATCTCTGCACTGCACTGATAATGTACAAAGCACAAAATAATCTCTTTCCAGGACGTATTCAGAGGCTGTTTCAAAGGTATGTTTAAAAAAGCAAGGTCAAGATAAATATTTAAAAAAAAAAGATGTATATCTGTAAAAGACATAAACACGTTGAGTGATTGTGATAGGGAATTAAAAATCTGTGTGTTTAAAACTCGGGTCATAAACACTTATAACAGTGAGGTATGATTATCACTGTTTATGAAATGTTAATCTTTTTACTTGTTTAATGTTTTTTCTTCAGTTCAGTTCTTTTTTATTTCAAACATATACATTCACCAACATTTCATAAAATCATTCCATGCAGTTGTTTGAAAAGGAGTAGGCAGAAGTATATACTTATTTAGCCCTTCCCCCTCAGGTTTACATCCTCATCTTATAAATTTGAACAACAAAAACGTATACAACGCCTTCAACTTAGAACATAACATCACAAAAAAATATTTTCTCATGTTCAACTAAAACTGTATTTAGATTTGCTAATTTGCAGAAGAAAATAAACATCAGTTTGACTGCTGTCTTGGGTTAATTGCATTTTCTTCATTCTTATACTTATTTAAAATTTCTTTTTTGAGTTTTATTTTAAACTGGTTTATATCACTACTGACCTTTATTTCTTCTTTTAACTCATTCCAGAATTTAACTCCCACTATTGAAATAGACATCCTTTTCAATGTTGTTCTTATTCTTTGTAATTTTAAATTCCACTTCCCTCTAAAATTTCTTGATTTATTATGTTCTTTGGGATGTTTCTGGTGATATCTACTGTAGCTAGAAAACAGCAGGTGTGAGTACCTAAAGCTTCAGCCTGAACCTATTCGGTCAATTCTTTATGTTCTTACCATTTAATTAAATCCTTTATCATCAAAATTTTTTTTTATCATTTTTTGTTTTTGATTTAAAAGAAATGTTAACAATGACCAATTTTTAATTTATTTGTTTGTGATGTGATTGTTCCTAATCATATCACTTTCCAGCCAGACAATAAGCCACGCATGTACAAAAACACTTACCATTGCGGTCTATGGCAAATGGCGTCCCGGCAGTCACAATTTCATAGTTGCAGATCTGGCTGTACTGTGGTGAACAGTCCTGGTCCCAGGCTTCCACCTTTAACAACCAACATACACTTTAATCCAACACAAACACTACTAATAACATTGTTGCTGTGTACGCTTCTTGTGGCATTGTTAGACCATATTCATTTATTCATTTATCTGACATACTGATTTTAATAATAAAGCAATGATAAAAACAGAAAACTGATACCTGCAAAATGCTGTCATAGATCTTTCCTTCTGTTATTGATGCCTTGTACAGAGACTCCCGAAAGATTGGGGAGAACTCATTGACATCATCCACCTGGATGTGAACTACAGCTCTGGATGTAAGAAAAAGTAGAAGACAGAAGATGATGATATGAGGGATTACACACTAGGTAAAATATGTAATTAATGTGGAGCTGAAATGGGTAAATAGGAAGACTAAGGCTAAGGAGAAAGCACAGATTCATCCCCTGAATGTTTTGCAAAGCTGGGTTGTTGTTGTTCAAGCTTCAAATTCTTCTCGCACCTGCTTTTCCTCTCCCTACATTCAACTCTGAATTCAGATTATCATCTGCTGGGAGGCATTAATGCAGCTCTCAGATAACATTTGTGCACTAAAGTATATAAATGAAGCAATAACGCAGATGTATCATGAAGTTTTCTTCACCGGTGACCTTTGCTGCCAGCAACTCCCACCGTATCTGAGCATGCACATCTGGCTAATTAATGACATTAGCTTAATGAGCCCTATTTAGAATGTCATGCCATGATAATGTGACACACACAGACACACCCAGGGTACAGTCTGTGTCATTCATCTCCCACTAAAGAAATTCATCACAGATCCGTGAGCTGATAAATGTCTCTCCATTTCTCGCTCTTCTCCCATAAGCGGTGTCTTATTTTAGCTGCTTGGTGCTTCTGACTGGAGAACCAGAGGGTTTGATTTGCTGCTGTCCACGCCAGTCTGCCTGTCTGTCAATCTAATTCACATAGCACCGCTACACAGTTTACAGACAGACATTATATTGACAAAGCATTAGGAGGACATATCTTCAGACATATCTGCAACAGCTGTGACTGCTAGAGTATAAAGGACTGAGAGACAATAACAACAGAAGAAAGGAACTAGGAAAGGAAAGACTCAATCTCATTATCACAGTTATTCTTTTTTGTAACTCGCAGTGTAATTTATGAAGGAATTTATAAATAGAGCTAAACCTACAGAAGCCTTTTAACTTGCATATTACACTTTTAGAACAAAATAAAGATTCAAATGAATGCAAAGCCACAGACATTGCATAAACACAGTACTGTGGCAAAGTACTGAGCCACCGCTCCTTTTATTTTAAATATTTCATTTCCAAGGAGCCAGACTTGCTTGCAACATTTAAAAGTGGTCTTAAGTTCTACAGACTTTTGAAAGTCTTTCAAAGTTTGTCTCTCGACATACTTTGGCTACTTTTTTACAGTTATCAGTCTAGACCTTTTTTTGGTCCATTTTTAGAGGAATGTAAATTTTAAACTGTACAAATGATTTTATAATTTCTTTAGTTGAATCTATAAAAAATGACACAGTTTCACAGGCATACAATATTATTTTTTGCACTAGCAAGGTCATTCCCAAAGCGCTATAAGCAATAAGCAGTCTGGAAAGCATCTGATTGTCAATGGCTCCATTTTTTAACATGACAACGATCCCAGAAACTCTGAACAGAACAAAAGGCAGCCAACATCCAAGGAAGAGCTTTGACTGTCCTTCAAGAAGCCTGGAGAATTATTACTAAAAGTTATTTTAAGAAATTGCAAGAAGGTTTCCCTAAGAGAGTTCAGGCTGCGTCGAAAGATGGTTAACCAAATACTGACTTTCAAACTCATTAAGTTTGCACAAACTTTTTTGTCCTATATGCACTTATTTCCCATTACTACCATCACTGTTATCATTATTATTATTATTATTATTGTTACCACCTAAGAAATATAAAGAAATCAGGGGTGGCTCAAAACGTTTGCACAGTTTGCATTTATGACGACAACTTTGCGCATGACACTCCAAAAACTTTTCATCCAGTGCTCCTCACTGCTGGAGATGTTTGTCTGTTTTTCAAACACTGGCATTGTTTTGTTGTGTTCCCAGAAGTTAATGTGACTCACTTGAGCAGCTGCCTTTGTAACTCTGACATGTATATTTTGAAGATAACATCTATTATTTGTAAGACGTTGTTTTGTCCACCCCCTATAAATCAGCTATAGTTGCAGCTACACAAATGAGTCACACTGTGATAAATAATAACAGGCAGCGCCGTATGTGACAGTTTTAATACTACATTTTCATAAGCGAGTTTTCAGAAAATATACAGAATTTCACAAAAGCACAAATAAACAAGACACTTCCTAAAATGTTTGGCGCACTATAAAAAAAGAATCTTTAACATAATGACATTTTATTGATTAAAGCAGAAAACGTTGCGTAAATCAATTCTTTGTCCGGATGTTTACGGACCTAAATCGAATGCAGACACATGAACAGTCGCAGCTTGACTTACTTGTGGGATTTCTTCCAGTTTGCACCACTTGGGCCGGCCCCACAGTCATAGGCCTGGATAATAAAGGTGTACTCTTTCTGGCTCTCACAGTCCACAGGGCTACTGGCTCTCAGCACTCCTTCTCCTGATGTGCGATTCAACACCACGGCCTCAAATGGAGCATCATCGCCGTTGATCTTAAAGGCACAAATCTCCCCTAAGAGGAACAGAAATGAGGAAATGTTACATTTCAAAGGATTACACAGTCAGAAGTAGTGAGAATTTGTTTTGTTTTTGTTTTTTGAAGTGCAAAGACACTGACTTTTAGATAGTTTCGAGTAGGAGCTAGGTGGCTAATAAAAATCTTCTTTTTGATCTTTCTTTTTAAAAAAATAGACACAAAGATGAAGAAGACAAAGGCAACACAGAGTCAACATCTGCGCAGCATGTGGTTCATCAGTGGACAGACACTGATGGGTACTTAACATGAAAGCAGTCAGCACAACTATCAGACCTACAAGCAATTTAAGTCCACATTATGTGAATAAACAACAACAAAAAAAAGAAAGCTTTGGGAAATATTTCTTCTCTCCTCATTCATTTAATTTTCTCTCATGACACTGTTGGTAAAAATCTTATTATTTTGCTTTGTTTGTTTCTTCCTTTTTTTCCTCCCAGCCATTTTCTCAAACACAGCAGTAGCCACCCAACAGCTCAGATAGTTAAAGATGAATCAAACTGCGGGTAATGAAGCAGAACTAACAATAGACACTGCTGGCATTTTTCTTTACAGATTGGCTATCACTTCAAATTTCAGTCCATTTCTGGACAGAGGAATCTTTGTCAGCATGACCGGCTCACAAAATCACACTGCGGAGCTCCCGGGGTGTAGTTAAGAGAAAAAATAATTTCTGATTTGTGTCGAGCTGCGCCACCTCAACAAAGGAGTGAATTTGTCCTGTCTGCAAAGTGTTTACACCACACTCTGCCAGTGTATTGTGTTGTGTGTTTGTGGCTCTAGACTCGTCTGCGGCATTCATCCCCCGGCACAAGTGTTCATTTCCTGGGATTTGGGAAATCTTTTTTGCAGAGGCAATGAAAAGCTAGTGTGCTCTGACCCTGTGCTGGCTGATATCTCAGAACAGAGTGGGACATAGAGGAAATGCCACTAACAAACACAAAGACAAAGCTCCCTGTCATCGCTGGCTTCTCTCCACTTTAGCTCCTCTCCACTCTCATGCACACAGATCCTTTTAACCTGATTCAACTTTGCAAATCTGCTTTAGGGTGAAGCCAAACATAGTCTTCTTCAAAGTTTGATCCCTTATGAATTTTCAAGATGCCCGGCCCCTGAATTGTCCTCCTTTTAAATTTTGTAGAAATGACAAGTTTCTCAATATCACAGTGGGACACAATTTGCATTTATAGAAAGACAATATTTGAAAAAGGGAAATAAGCATGCCGGTACATGCACAGGCAGGCCTATAGTCTCAGATGTGCCCAGATAGGGTGATTTTAATACAGTGCTGACTTGGTGGTAGAAGAAGGAAAGGGCACTTCCACTTAACAGTTTGGAGGTTGGATAGAAATACATTTTTCGCTCCATCTGTTTTGACCAATGCGTTTTTTTGGATTACATTTTACACAAGAACCAAACTGAGCTTTATAACGAAGCAAGGAAAGAACGAGAGCGCGAGAGCGAGGGAAGAGGAGGAATAAGATGTGTCAATGTATATGTTAATGGTAATAACAGAGATTTGAAGCAGATTCCTACTTTCTCAGCAAGTACTTTGCGCGCACACACACACACACACACCCATCCATGCAAGCCTAATAATGTGCATGCATATATAGACTTTCTTTCCCGCCACTTAGTTTGTTCCTCATCAGCAGAGGGAATGCTATAATTTCAACCTTCTGCCGTGCATGGATGAAATGAAGCCCAATCTTTTGGCGTGCACACCATGAGCGAAAAAGGGTCGGTTTTCAAAGTAAATATCCAAATGCATAGATTTTTGCTTCAGGGAGCTGGCCCGTCGCCACGGAAGAGAGGAAAATTCAAGAGTCAGCAAAAAATGGCTCGATAATAACAATCATCTAAAATAGATGGTACTCCACTGCATGCTTCAGCGGCATAAACTGCATCGACACAAAATGTCAAGCTGTCGGGGAACATGTATTTCTTGGGATGTTAAATTGCCAAAATAATGGAAAGGGACAGTAAGGATACATTTAATGAGAAAATGATTCCCAGCAAGCTAACACGTTGTCACAAGGAGCCAAAACAAATTTGCGCATTCCCGCTGCAAATTGCAGGACTTGACAGAGCATTTCATTTCTTTTAACTTTCATTTCTATATTTTGGACTGCTCACACTTTCTGTTCAATCTTCATTTTAACCACATCAAACGCAGCTTGTTTAAAAGAAGAATTTAACTTTAGGTCCAAATGGCTAAATCAGCTCTTTCTGCTCCTCCTCCCAGATCTTCATCACTGTATCATCTCAATGGTCCATCATAAAACTTGCTTGACCTAAAAAGTTTTTCCAGAATGTATTTTTGAATCTTTTTGAATGTCTTATAGTCTCTACTTCCTCCACTTCATGTACTGAGTTTGTAAAAGTTTCTAAATTGAATTTGTGCACTAAATGTTTTACAGATAAGTCGGTTTGTTGCAGAGTTTTCTGATTATCACTTGTAAAGTGATAATGTGATAGTCTATATGATAACTAAACACTGCTAAACAAAGTTCCTCTGTGTGTGTGTGTGTGTGTGTGTGTGTGTGTGTGTGTGTGTGTGTGCCACAGATATAGACTTACCAGGCCTTTATTCATAAGAAAAGTTGAGAGAGATAGCAGGGGAATCAGATATAACAAATGGTTGAACTGACCGAGATTCGTTTACAGACTGTTGTTTTGTCGGCTGCTCCCTTTAGGGGTCACCACAGTAGATCATCTGCCTCCACTTCACTCTATCTCTAGCATCCTGCTCTGTCACATTAACCCTCTGCCCCTGCATCATTCCCTACATCTATGAACCTCCTCTGAGGTCTTCCTCTTTGCCTACTGCCTGAACTCTGGACATGTGCAGAGGAGGGATAGTGGATATACTGCACAAAGGATGCAAACCATCTCACCCATGCGTCTCTAGCTTTTTCTCCAAACCGCTCAACCTGAGCTCTCCCTCTGATGTGCTCATTTCTAATCTTGTCCCTTCTCGTCGCTGCTAATGAAAATCTTCATATCTTCAGCTCTGTCACCTCCAGCTCCACCTCCAGTCTTTTTGTCACAAAAGGTCTGTATTAAAAAACATGTTACACCACTCCTTAAAAACTAGGAATTAGAGACAGTCCCACTTAATAGAAAACAAAATCCAGATTTAATGAAACAAGAACTCTTGAGCGCCTAAAAAGAAGGCAGCTGAACTTTGGATTATCCCCTAAAATATCTAGGTTTCTCTATCAGTTGTTTAACCCTCTCAGGCTCAAATTAAACTTTTTGTTGCTAATGCAAAACCAAGTCCTGCAGTGGTACTTCTGAGTAAAAAAAACTCATAAAAAACATAAAATATGTATGTGGGGTAATCAGGTTGTTAGTTTTTAACTGTTGCAAATCGGCAACGCCTGCCTCGAGAGGGTTAAGAATTGAAGATCTAAAAACCTTTCTTCTTTGCCTTCTTTTCAACCACTCACCATGAACTGGATGATTGATAACCCACATGGATGTTAATGAAACGAGAACATTAGGTGCTATAAAAGCACTCACAGGTTTTACTCCTCTGTTATGACCCCGTGGCTCATAATGGCTCTGCTTAATTAAAACAGCACTGTGAAAATAACAGGGTTAGGGTTAGGGAGAAAAAAGCTTTTTGAAGTTTTTATTTTTTATTTTTTTTCTGCTTTTTAAAAGTCAGCAAACTTTTTTAGTGTTTTTTTAAGAAATCAGATTTGATTGGCGACTCCATACATGCAGCTAAATGACAGTTCATTTTGATACATTAATTAATTAATTAACGGGGCTTCAAAATTTAAGCAACAGTGGAAGAGTTGTAACATGTCAGATGTGAATGACTTACTACAGAAGTGACTGTTACTAAATACTTTAAATACACGCAGCAATCAGGATCTACGAACACCGACGCTTAAACATGAAATCTACAGCAAAACATTCAAGAAATGCAATTTCAATTTCTTTCCTCTCTTCCTTTTCATGTCATTTTTCATTTCAGAAAATAAATAATAGACAATAAACAAGTATAAAACAACAATTACCCTTTATACATACTAAAGGGTTATCTAACCACAAAGTGACAATGTTATTTCATAATAACATTAATTTCAAGTAAATCAAATTTTGATGTATTTCTTATTGAACACATTTTTTAAGCAAACATTTAAGTGTAACAAAAGCGCTGCATAACTTCAGATCATCTCTGCCATTATTCCCTAAAATTATCCCATTAACAGAAATACAGTGTGTTTTTTTCATTATTTATTATCATAGGTTTTTGAAAAAGAAATACTCCTCTTAATTCATAATTGCTTGTTCTCAGCTGGAACAAATCCTGGACACCTGGAGGTAATTGATGGCTTTGCACTTTATACATAATCAGCATAATTTTAAATCTTTTAATTCAGCAAATTTCTAGTTATTCAGCAGTTTGGTTTAGTGGCATCATAATAGTTTGCTCTGCACATTCTTCTGCTTTTTTTTTTTGCAATACAATATTGAGTTGGTGATCGTTTTATATGCATTTCCATATACCTTCAAACCATAGGTCATATGTTTCATCTGGAAGCTTGTAGAAAATTCACATTCTGACACCCAAAGACAGCACGCAAACAATCGTCACCTCTCCGTTGAAAACATCTTTAGGTTCATAAATGTTCATGCACACAGGATTATGAAAAATTCAAGTAGTGACTTCTAAAGTACTGAACGCCTTATATGAACCCACTTTCTCAGTCAAGCCTCAACAGAGAAACAGAAAATTCAATCATGTTAATTCCTTTTCTTAATCAAATACTGTTGTGACTCCATCTGGTGTGTCTGTGCACATTTGTCTGACTCTGTGCAGAGCGGGAAACACAAAAGCTTTACTGTGACAGTGTGTGTGTGTGTGTGTGTGTGTGTGTGTGTGTGTGTGGTAGGAAGGAGCTGTAAGACCCTGATTAAAGAGGGTTTCTAAGCAGAGTATCAGACGGTTTTAAGCCTCGATT